CTGAACAATGATTTCGTCTCTGGGGAACAGACATCAAATGCCTATCCTCCAGATGTTGCCTAGATGCCAACTGTGGACTTTAGGTATCGTCTAAGTCTGTGGAGTTCTGAAGAGCTGTACTGCTGGGTTTTGTTTTCTTAATTAATAAACTTTATTCTTTATTTTTCCCCCTTAAAGAGCTTTGCTGTAGGGTGCATGTGCTTGCCAAAGAGACAGAGAGAGACAGTGAGACAGAAAGTGAGAAATCACTCCCCAGGGGAGATGGCCACACTGCATCATTTCTCCTCCATTCTCCTCTTGGGATCTTGAGCACACATACACAGACATCTGGAGTGAATTTTAAGTCCACTAGATCCAGGACTTGAACCATAGTCAACTACATAGGAGTCTAGTGACATAACCATTATGCCATCTGCTGGTCCCATAAACTTTAAGAACAGTTTTATAGGCCAGCAGGTGGTGTAGCAATTATGTCACTGGACTCCCACATGGCCAACCACAGTTCAAGTCCCAGATTGGCAGCTTGAAATGTGCCGGGTGTATGTGCATGTGTGCTCAAGATTCCCAGAGGAGAATGAAGGAGAAGGGATTGTGGTGTGGTCATCCTACCTGGGGGGAGGGGGTGATTTCTCACTTTTTTTCTCACTGTCTCTGTCTCTCTCTCTGGCGAATGCATTCACTCTAAGGCAAAAACCTCTCAAAAAAAAAAAAAAGAGAACAGTTTTACATTTAGAGAAAAGATGAGTAGATAATAAGAGTTTCAATATGCCATTTTCCCCCCATGTTAATATCTTGCATAGATGTGGTACATTTGTTACAGTTAAGGAATCCATGTGGATACAATATGTATCAAGATATTAACTAAAGTCCAGAGTTTACAGGAGGATTCACTCTTTGTGTGGTACCGGTCTACGAATTTTGACAAAAACATAATGTTATGTATTAGAGTACTGTAATACGCAGAACAGTTTCACTGGCCTAAAAGTTCCCTGTGCTTGGCCTATTCATTCATACTTCCCTACCACTAACCATGTTACTATCTCATTAGTTTTACCTTTTTTGAGAATATCATACAGTCGGAATCATACAACATATAGCCTTTCCATATTGGCTTCTTTCACTTAGTAATATTCATTTGAGCTTTCTCAGTGCATGTTCATTGTTTGATAGTTCATGTCTTTTTATTACTATATAATATTCCAGTGTAGGGATGTACACGGTTTATCCATTCACCGTCTGAAGAACATCTTGCTTGCTTCCACTTTTTAACAATTATAGACAAATCTGTTCCATAAACTAAACTAAACTATGTGGCAGTTGTTGTGAATACTTGTTTTCAACTCAATTGGACAAATACCTAGGAGTCTGACTATTGGGTGTATGAGAAGACTATGTTTAACTTTGTAAGAAACTCTCAAAGTGTCTTCCAAAGTGGCTATATAATTATGCGGCAATTGAGAGCATTCCTGTTGCTCCACATCTTTGTCAGCATTTGGTATTGTCAGTTGTTTGGATTTTAGTCATTCTAATAGGCATGTAATGATATCTCAGAGTAGCAATTCCATAGTTGACAAATTATAGTAAATATATTTTTATATGTATATTTGCCATATATGTATCTTCCCAGTGAGGTGTCTTTTTGCCTTTTTCTTTTTTAGTTTTTTAGTTTTTGTTATAGGACAAGTGTACTCACCATACAGAGATGGAGAGACAATGAGAAAGTGAGAAATCACCCCCTGGGGGAGATTGCCATGCCTCAATCCCTTCTCCTCCATCATCCTCTCAGGACTTTGAGCACACATGCACACGTTTGGCATGATTTTCAAGTAGCTGGGTCCAGGCTTTGAACCACAAAGTCAGCCATGTGGGATCCAGCTCCTTAACCTCTATGCCACCTGCTGGCCCTCTTTGCCTCTTTGTAAAGTTTTTGCTTCTTGTTGAGCTTTAAGATTTTTTTTGTAGGTCCTCCTGTGGATTAGTGCGGGGTGGGCGCGCGCTGCTGGCCGCCATTTCTTGGCTTCTTCCGGGGAGCCGCCCCCTCCTCAGCCCCGCTAGTGCCTTCTTCCACCCCGGCCACCCGCTCCTGCGCCGTCGTCCCCAGCCCATAGACAAGTGGGACTATATTAGACTAAGAAGTTTCTGCACAGCAAAGGACACAGTAACAAGTGTGAACCGACAACCCTCAGAATGGGAAAATATTTTTGTTAAATATGCCTCAGACAAGGGACTGATAACGAGAATACATAGGGAACTCAAGTGCCTTATGCGAAAAAAAATGATTAACCCGATTAAAAGATGGGAAAGTGAGCTGAACAAAAGTCTCTCTAAGGAAGACATACGAACAGCCAAAAAGCATATGAGGAAATGTTCAACATCCCTCATCATAAGGGAGATGCAGATAAAAACCACAATGAGATACCACCTAACCCCTGTCAGAATGGCAAAGATTAAGAATATAAAAAGTGATAAGTGTTGGCGGGGATGTGGTGAAAAGGGAACCCTCCTACACTGTTGGTGGGAATGTAAACTAGTTCAACCACTGTGGAGAACAATATGGAGGTTCCTCAAAGATCTACAAATAGAACTACCATTTGATCCAGCAATCCCACTTCTGGGTATTTACCCAAAAGACAGGAGAACGCTCAGTCAGAAAAGTGCTTGCACATCCATGTTTATTGCAGCATTATTCACAATTGCCAAGACATGGAACCAACCTAAATGTCCACAAACTGATGAATGGATTGGAAAAGTGTGGTATATATACTCTATGGAATACTACTCAGCCATAAAAAATAACAAGACCCTGGAATTTGATAGAAAATGGTCAGATATGGAGGATCTATTGCTGAGTGAAGTAAGCCAGGCTATGAAAGAAAGATATTGTATGTATCCACTCAATATATACCGACTATCCGCACTCTATAATAGAGAGCAAAAATTCGGAGGACATAAACACAGTGAAGGTACTTAATGAGAATAGGACAGTGTGGAATGGGGTAAGTGAAGAGAAGAGGATAGAGAAAGATAGCAAGTGAACAATAGAGAGACAGGACGTTAGTGAGAAACAGATAGGGGTTATTAACTGTTGATGATGACATGTATAGAATTCTCAACTGGATTGGTCTGAGAAGTGTTTCATGATGGGCAAAGTATTTTTACAAGCAAAACGAGAAATAGCAATTGACTGTTTTATAAAAATAATTAGAATAATAAAGATAATGATTGGGGAAAACAGAAAAGATATGGAATGTTGAAGTGGGGAGATTAATGTCTCTGTACTGACTGACGTGCATGGCATTCCCTTTTGAAGAAACAATATAATACACAGTAAAGTTATATGTAATCCAATGTAATATGAAGAAGATATGATGATAAAAAAATAAATAAAAAATAAAAAAAAAAGATTTTTTTTGTACATTTGAATATCAAGTGTTTTGTAAATATTTTCTCCCAGTCCCTAGCTTGCTTTTTTCATTAACAGTGTCTTTTGCAGAGTAGTTTTTAATTTTAATAAACTCCAACATCCTTTTTCTTATTCATAGGTCATATTTTGGTGTTGTATCTGAAAATTCATTGCCTATCTCAGTTACCTAGATTTTCTCCTAAATTATCATCTAGAAATTTTATAGTTTATGTTTTCTATTTAGGTCTATGATTTCATTCTTATGAAAGGTGTAAAGGTCTGTATCTAGCACTATTTGTTAAAAAGACTATCTCTTCTCCCATTGAAATGCCTCTGCTCCATTATCAAAAACAGTTGACTGAGCCAGCCCTGTTGCTTAGTGGTTGAGATGGCTGAATTCCACATGGCTGACTACATACTTCAAGTTCTGGACCTAGTGGCTTGAGAAATACATTGGGTAAGTGCATGCATACCAAAAATCCCAAAAGGAGAAGAGATGGACAAGAAGGGATTATGGCATAACCATTCCCAGTTGGAAGTGAGGGAATGCCTTCTCCTCTCTCTGTTCCTCTGCCTCTCTCTGGCAAGCACACATATCCTCTAACCACAAAGAAAAAAAATGTTGACTGAGGGTCAGCCAAGTGGGGTGGTGGCTAGATCCAGGTGGCTAGACCCCACATGGCTGACTGCAGGTCTGAGTCCTGGACCTGGCAACTTGAAAAACACACTGGGTGTATATGCATGCATACCCAAGGTCCCAGGAGGAGAATGGAGAAAAGAATTGCACTATGGTCACCACCATCCCCCGCCTTGTGGGGGGTGATTTCCACCCCCCCACCCCCCCCCCCGTCTCTTGCTGGTGAGCATATGTGCCCTATGGCAAAAACAAAACAACAAAGTTAACTGTATTTATGTGGGTCTATTTCTCAATTCTGTTCCACTAACCTTTCATCTTTTCTTTCATCAGTACCATACTATTTTGATTACTGTAGCTTTATGGAAAGTTTTGAAGTCAAGTAGCATCAATCTTCCAGCATTATTTTCTCTTTGTCAATAATTGTGTTGGCTAATCTGTCAGTGTCCATGAAATAACTTGTTTGTTTTTTTTTTTTTCCTTTTATGAAAGAGAGACAGAGATAAGTATTTTTGACAGTCTTAACCTGTTGTGATTCTCCTGTCCTGGCTTCCCAATGAACTAGGCTTACAGGCATGCAAAACCGTACCTGCTATGTGCAGGCTGACCTGGGAACAGAACTTGAGCATCTCATGTAGCTTCTAGCCTTTCAAGCAGTGGCACCACCATCGAGAGGCCTTGCTGAGATTTAATTGGGGTTGTGTTCAATTTATAGACCAAGTTAGGAAGAACGGACATCTTTTTAAAATTTATTTATTTATTATTTTAATTTGCTATAATGCACATGCACTCAGCAAAGAAAGAGAAGAGAGAGAGAAAGCCACCTGGTTTGCGACTCAAACTGTGGTTGGCCATGTGGGAGTCCAGTGCCCTAACCACCATGCGACCTGCTGGCCTCAAGAATTGACATCTTTATATTTAATTTTCCTGTAAACGAATATGGAATCTCTCTCCATTTCTTTTTTTTAATGGAAATTTCTGACTTATTCCAGAAGAAAAAAATATTAAATGCATCACTAAGGATCACCTCAAAGCAAATGTTAAAACAGTCATTACCATAGCAACTGATGCAGGAGATGGGAGGCAGACACAGGACCATTAATGTGCCTGAAACTGGAGCCAGCCCTAATTCTTCACTTCTGCAGACTCCTCTTCTCCTTTTCCTTAGCTTTCTCCCTCTCTTGCACCTTCTCCTCCTTCTTCAGCATTGCCACGATCTCAGTCACGTGACTGGTAAGGATGTGAACATCTTCTTTGTATACCAGCTCAACCACTTTGATAAGTTTGTCGAAGTTGACCTTACCATCCTTATTTTCATCTAGTGTTGAGGCCAAGCTGACTAGCTTGTTCTCTGGAATGTGCTTGATTTGCTTCATGCTGCTGATGAGCTCGGTGATACTGATAACAGTCTCCCTAGTAGGTGAGCCCTCTGCCAAGTCCAGCTTGCCAGCCCTCCTATCTGTCTCCAGCTGCAAAATCAAGTTGTCTATCTGCCCAATCATCTGCTGAACTCTCTTGTTCAGTCTTTTGCTGGCTTTAGATTCTTCTACATATTTTTCCTTACCAGCCTTTGAAGGTGTCTTCTTGATTTCTTCTAAGTCCTCACTATAGTCTAGGATGTCCTCCTTCAGCAGTTCCAGTTCCTCCTTTTCTTTAGTTAGGGGTTTCTTCTTCTCCTTCAGTTTAGAACACACATTACTGAGTATGTCAATTTCTTCCTTGGTTATTTCCTCTTCCTTCAGGACTTCCTTATGCACTTCTGGCTGCCAGTCTGCTGCTTCTTTTGTCACTTGGGAAAGTTTCCGCAGTTCCTTCTCCCGGTACTCCTCTTGGATGGCCTCCTCTTCCTGCAGTGTGGCCTCCAGTTTCACCCTGTTGTCTAACTTCTCACCCTCAACCTCAGCCACTTTCACCTGGGCTTTCTTCACCACACTGTCTGGAAGGGTCTTCAATGTGGATTTCAGCTGGTCAGCTGGTGAGAGGGTATCTGGGAGGTACATGGCTCTGGACAATATGAGCAGGGATGTAGGGATCTCCTGATGCAGGTGCAGGTCCAGCCACTGCTTCAGCTGGTCCCTCAGACAGTCTTCTGTGACACCACAGGCCCTCATTCCTCGAGCCCAACAAGCTGACTGTAATTCCTTGATGTTCAGGCTGTCTACCCCTTCCTCAGCAATCAGCTTGTCATCAGCCTTTATGGACCTTAGCCTCATGGTAAGCTGAAAACGCAAGAAACTGTTGGTACCCATGGCCTGGAGCCCTAATAGCTTACATAGCGCCACTAGCTGCGGCCGAGTGAGGTTATCCAGAGTCAGCTCATCCTCAAATAATTTGGAAAAACGCATGATTTCCTCATTGCTAGGGCTTTCCCCTGATGCTCGGATCTTCTGGAAAAATACAGAAAAATCTTTGGCAGCACTGCCCTGGGCTGCCTTATTCTTCAAGGCCATTTCCTCAATGGTGTCCTGGAGAAACTTGGCCAGCTCCAGTTTGGCACGCAGCTTCTTTTTCAACCTCTCCTCCTTGATGGACTGGGTCTCAAAGGTGGATGGCAACATGTTGGGAAAGAGCTTCACAGCAAGGGGCAGCAGGAACTCCATGAATGGTACTACCACGAAGATGAGGAGCGGCACCAGGCGGAAGAGGTCAGCGCAGACCCGGACAAACTGCCTGTGCTCCCGGCGGGTCAGGGTGTGGCCCTTGAGAATCCTCCAGAGCGAGCGGGCGGCGATCTTGGTGTCGATCCAGAGCAGGTGGAAGCCATGGTAGTAGTGCTTCAGCCCGTCCACCACCTTCTGTCTCAGGGACGTCTTCACTGCCACCTCTGCAGGTGCCGGCGGGCTGCTCACGGGGCCGCCGTCCTTCATCTCGTTCTTGTCCTTGAGGGACTCAGGGGGCTTCTCCACCACAGAGCCCCTCCCGAGCAGTGCTGACGAATGCCAGCAGCGCACTGGAAGGTCCCCAGGTCCCGTGACAACTACACATGGTGCTGTGGCCACCGTGCGCCAGAGCTCGGGCGTCACGGGCGTCGGGGGCCAACCGCTGAGGTGCTGGCCTCCAAAGGAAGGCCCCCCCGGGGGGGCGGGAGC